TCGCTCATTACGACATGTTGAGGAAATCCCCCTCCCCCGACTTAGGTTAGTTTTCATTGGGTTTCACACATTGTGCGCACCTCACACTCAATTGTCTTAATAGAGTTTGTTACAAATCGTTCAAGGAATAGTCAAGTGTGGTGGCGGCGGTCGCTACTTGACGTACACTATTTCAATGTAATGTATACATTAAATGATAAACGCAGTGAAGACTCGGGGGTGCTGGTGGTGGGGGAGCGACTTTAAATGTAATACCGCTAGTTATAGGTATAAAAAATTGTCAAATTAAATATAATATAATAAAATGTAATACACATATTATTATTTTAAAGGCACAGTATAACAGTGATTATACTATTATAGCAACCGATAACGACGAACATAGTTAATTCTAAAAATATATTACCAATTATAGTAATTATATTAATTATATATATATAATTAATAATAATATACTAATATTAACGAGATGCTTTTCTAAGCATCTGGTAGGCAATGATAAAATACTATGTAAAAAATAAAAAAATACAGACGTCTATAAACGTTATAATATAGCGGTACCTTTGATGTTGGAAATATGCTTACCTAAACGTCTGGTTACCCATGATAAATTTCTTAGAATTTATTATGCCATTACGACATAGGTTGTCTTTGTTCTTATAAAATGTAGACGGTAATGTGGGTTATAATATGGCGGTACCTTTGATGTCGGAAATATGCTTACCCAAGCGTCTGGTAGGCAATGATAATATTCATAAAAAACGTTGTTAGTTTAACTTGGATTCATCCCCACCCATTACAGGTTAGTTTATGTTATGTTTCATTACCCCCTCCCTCTATAGGAATTAATGACGGACACCCCTGCTGCGTTAATATTAAGTAAATATGTTATAGTGACAACAGCGGTCACTATATGACGTACACTATTTCAATGTATCTGGTAGATGTTATAACTAGTACGTTTATCAGTTAACGTTATCAGTTTACATAAGGTTTACCTTACCCTTCAGTAGATAGCATCATAGGAGGAGAGCAACCATATGGCTACCTCCCCCACCGCTGACATGAAGTTATAATGCGCATGCGCACTTTAAACCACCATTTTGATTGATCTTAACATCCCCACCTAAGTCACCTATTACCTCCAACATAGTGGTTCTAGAAACTACTCCAATATATTAAAAATCAATATTTAATTTATTAAATAATTTAAATTGTTAATTAAAAATAAATAGGGTGTATATAAAATATACAAATTTTGAATAATGAAAATAAAACGAATCCTAATTACGTACATATGAAAACTATGATAGTTACCCCCAATGATAGCCCTAGAGAGAATTAAAATATGTATATATACAAACCATATGACAATTGCATAATTATAATTCTTTCACGATTATTATTATCATAATAATTTTAAATAACATTGAATAATCTAGTATTCTTATTAACCATTGATTGTCTTGGATGAGAATGTACACATATTATTAACCAAACTAATTTTTGTGACTCAATAAAACTTTAATAGACTAATTTTATAATAGTCTGTAAATTATGATAATTTATAATTCATAATAATTAATAATTCATAATCATCAACTAGAGTATACGCATACTAACTTGAATGTTTCGTACATTATTCGGTCTACAATCAACAATGTCTTACATGCTACATAAAAAACATAGGTACATTTTGTAATATTCTCCTTTGGAATATTAATAAAATCAATACCGCTTTTCTTTCTCAGACCACAGAAAAGGAAACGCTAACCCTATTACGTATATAATTTTGACTTTTGGCAAATATAAAGTAGACGTGAGTCATTGTCTTTCATGCCATCTTCGAGGCATCACCAAAGTACTAAAAAAGGAAATTTAAATACAATAACTCTTTTGCGTTTATTGAAATATAGAGTGATGACTGAATGTGCCTATAAAAAGTATAACACTTTTTCAAGATGCCCAATCCCTGTTTATGATTTTATTGGTACATTATATAAAGGCTGAAGACACTGTTTTTCCCGTCAGTCAATCTTTCATTTTTCTTGTCTCCTTTTCTCTCTTAATAATGTCAAGTTAACCAATTTAATATTATTACAAACGTATTCAAGTGTATTCTTTATACTGTGTGTCTATAAACCTAACTTTTGTCACTAAATCTAAAATATACATTTGTTAAAATAATTAACATTTTCAATAGTAATAAATCGCTTTTATCAACCATATACGATGCTCTTTTATTAACATACCCACTATAATTTCAAATACATTCTTAACAACCATAAGTCTACAATCAAGATTCCATCACCATTAGTGAATATCAGGTAAGAGTAGTTTTAATACACTAACTACACTAATAAAGTAATAACTAGAAATAAAGTACTTGTATCTATTATGTCTTTACGGATGATGCCATTATCATTATTCTTTATTAATACCATCCTTATCAACTTTATTTTTAGTTATTACAGTCAATAAAGTAATTTTTAAATTTGAATGAGCTTAAATTGCAAATTTTATCACGCGACGAAAGCAACAAACAGTTGCCGAATCTGTAACACTTGTGTATTTCACGCTTAGGGTACGAGGTTCAAATCCGCCTGTGACAATTAATATTTTGCATTTTTTTAAGTTAGAAAAAAGTTTTCAAACACATTTGGTTTTTATCTCATTTAGATTCAATAACTTCAATAAATATCAAGGATCCTATCACTATAGTCTCCCCTCGCGAGAAAAAATTTCTTATTCATGTTAATATTATTTTACTATGTGGTTCTTTTTGTGACTACGATTTATTTTGCCAACCCTCACTTGACCTAATTTTTTCAACGATATGTCAAATGATTACAATTCGTATTTAGTTGAAGATTTACCGTTAAAAATCGAAAAAATATTCCTTATACAAATAAAAAGTAGCTTAACCAGCTTTTTCCATACAAAGAATTATAATCATTCATTTCTAATATTTTTAAAGTATATATCAAATTAGATTTAGTATGATAAAAGTATTAAACTACAAAAGTAAATAATTTTACCTTGTAATTTATTCATTTTTTAACTCTATTTGTGTGTGTAACTACTAATTCATAATATTCCAATTTTTTTTGTAACATGTTGCTATATAAATCTAAAAAAAATTATTTTTAGTTTCGCCAGATTTTAACAATGTATTTTTACAATTATAATCAAAATTTATAATACTCTCAATTGAGTAGATCTTTTCAACAATCATTTTTATTAATTTTTTTAATCAAAATAAATCATTAAAATTAATTCAGTACTGCATATTTCAATTGTAGAATCTACCATAGAAACATCAAAAGTTAATTAAAAATTATTACTATGATTTCTATTTAAGTGATCTGTTACAATAAAAATGCAAAAAAAAATATTGAGCTTTTCGGATAAATTTTTAGTAAATAGTAATTATACTATTTTCTGACTCCATATTAATCTTAAGAATGCTATTTTTTTATTCTCATAATATTTTCTATTTAATAATGTAAATTTCAAATTTGAAGTAGAGCTAAAAATTATTTTTTTATGTTAATATGTAACTGTATCTGGAAGCATATATACTTACCTTGCTTATTTTAAAATAATGATTTAACTATGAAAATGACATGTCGATACTAACTTTTTATATAAATATTTTAGCAGTTAATAATATTATTATACATAAGTGAAAGCAGCAAAATACCCGATAAAAACAACTGTGCATTACTTCTGGTATTTAATTTTAAAATTTTTATAATTGTTAATATCAATATTATATTTTATAATTTCTGTGTGTATAAACCAATAAAAAATTGTATAATGCACAATTCATATTTATTTTTAATAATAATTTATAGATTTACTCAGTATTAAAGTAAGTTGTGCTTAATTATATAACAATAATGTAAACAAAGATTAATTTTATTACAACATTTAATGAGTTTCTATTTGTAATAGAGTTGGAGGTTCATCATCTGTTGCTTTAAGTTCTAATTCTAGATATATAAAAAAATTATAAGAATATGAAATGATATTTTAATTAATTAATTTTTTATTTTATTTTAAATACCTTGTATAATTAGCTCCCCGGGTGTTGGTAAAAATATTTCTTCAGTAATTGGATCATATTTAAATCCCAGTTGAAAATAATATTCTATAATTACAGTCTTGATATAATCATTACATTTTCTGGTTAAAAACTTTAAAAATACTAATTTTTCGTCATGTTTAATAATGGCATTATATTCTTGGATCCATTCATCCCATAAATAGTTCTCATTATAAGATGCATATTCACAATATGAATTAGTTTCAAATAGAAGTTCATTTTTTATATTTTTAGAAAATAAATCTATCTTTTTAAATACCGAAGAGTATGTAAAAATATCATTACGTGATACAGTCCGTTCGTTTAATTTATCGGAAAAATCTCCTATTTTTTCCAACAAAGGACTCATTATGTATTGATTTTTGCAATTTTCTTTAAAATGAGCCCATGGTAAGTAATGTAATGAATCTAATGCATCCATGGCGCTTTTCATCAATTTTGCTATTGAACCTATTACGTTTATTAATCTTTTTGTATAAATGCATTCATTTATTAAGTCATTTCTTTCTTTTTTTTTATTTTTACTAATTTGTACGCTGTTGATAATAATTGTAAAAAGATAATTTATAACTTTTGCATATGTGCATCCAAGAAATATTGTCAAAGCTCGTACCAATTCGAACCCCTTATTACAAGCGCCTTAGATTCGTGCGTTACCAATTGACCCACAGGTTACTACGACTGCGAGAGGATATAAAAAAAGCTATTTAAGGTAGTTCAAATGGTTATTTATCTGTTAAGATATTTTTCCCGTTTAAAAAAATTCAAAGTAAATACAACTTTATATTCAATTTAGATTAGATTCATATAATTTTTTTGAAAATCGGCGATCCCATCGCCATGATCTCTCCTTGTAAGTTAGAAATTGACCTATATTGTTGATAATATAGAAATATATTCTAACTATAATAAAAAATCTTTTTATGATTTTAAGTTTCACAGGACAATAATAATATATAATTACACTGATAAAACTAAAAAAATTTTAACTCGATAGGCCTGCAAATAATAGCAACAAGGGTTTTTTTACTGTCCCTGATTTACTTAGCTTAATTGAATTAAGTTAATTAAAATTGATACGAATTAGAGAAAATGGCTGTTTACTTATTAAGGATTTAGGAATATGTATATATAATACATAAGTAATATATAACAAGATACCAATAACAACCAAAGATGTAACTATAGGGAGAAAGNTATATAATACATAAGTATTATATAACAAGATACCAATATCATCCAAAGATGTAACTAAAGGGAGAAAAGAGGATGGCTTGTGTCTCTTAAGTTACCTCAGTTGGCCAACAAGATATATATTTATAATATTTAAAAAATTATATTGATAATATATTCAACAAATATTTCAAGTTAAATATTCTATATTTATTCTAATTAATATATTTTCATAATATTTATAAGCAAATATTTAAAAAGATATTTTTTAAGCACATTGTAGAAATATTTTCTGTGTAATATACTATATTTATTCTCTTTAATATATTCTCAAAATATACATAAACAAATATTTAAAAAATTATATTGTGAGCATATTATGGAAATATTTCAATAGAATATATTTTTTATTATATTTATGAGATATTGTTACAATATTTTATTCAAAATATTTTAAAAAGTATTTTGTAAGAATATTTTGACAATATTAATATATTGAAATTGCTATGTGGATTATAGCATTTCCCGTAAAAAAATATATATACATAAAATATAAAAAATATGTATGTGTTAGTTATAATTTTTTTAATAATCTGACTATATACCTCCCCACAAGAGCGGATTCAAGATAGCAATTTTTTCACAAAAGTCAAATTTGTCATCTTAACTTCTGAAAATATTTTGGAAAAACTGTGTCCTTTAATATATGTTACTTACTATAAATTAAAAAAAAATTGTCCGGACGATTTGTTTTCAACGTACAATAGCTTTCGTAGTTAAATACTATGCTATTTTTTTGTTAAAATTTCCCATTTTATATTTTCAAATTTAAATTGCTATATAAATATATAATATTTTTGAAAAATGTATGATTCAACACAATTTTTATTTCCAAATACATTATATATACCCCTTGACACGAATAGTTTCAGTGTCAATAAGTATTTAAATATAGCATTGACACCCAATGATTTCACAATGGTATATGTGGCGGTCGAATGTTCTAGAATGTTCGGCCGCCGCCGCCTCTAGAAGATTCGTCGCCCTACATAAGCGTGTGGCGGTCGAATGTTCTAGAGAGTTCCGCCGCCGCCTCTAGAAGATTCCTCTGACTATTTAAGGGCAAGATCGTCGCTCCAGTCAATCAGTCGATCAGTCAATCACTTACGCATTCTGTCTTAAACGCGCTTCGTCTCTCGCTGTTATTTGTTAGTTCGTTGTAATATAGTATAGTTGTTATTAAATCGTAAAAGTGTTTATTACTTCTATATATTACACCTCGCTACATTGGTGACCTCGACGATAACAAGTATGAACGCCGAAGAACTACGCGATCAATTGGAGGAGTTACGCCAAGAAAACGCTCGCCTTGCAGCACTACAGGCACAGCAATATCCAACAGCTTCAGTGAATCGCGTTGCCGTCAAGTTGCCACCTTTCTGGTCCGAAAGACCGAGCTTATGGTTCTCACAGGTTGACTCGCAGTTTGCAATCTCGGGAATAACAAGTGAGGAAACAAAATTTAATTATGTTGTGGCTCAGCTTGATACGCGTTACGCCGCCGAAGTAGAGGATATTATTACTAACCCACCGCCTACTGAACGCTACAAACATCTACGCGCAAAACTTGTTGAACGGTTGTCTATCTCAGAAGAACAACGTGTGCGGCAACTCATCAATGAAGAAGAACTAGGTGACCGTAAGCCATCACAGTTCTTACGACATCTCCGTTCCCTTGCCGGCACTACTACATTACAAGACAATATTTTACGTCAACTTTGGCTCCGCCGTCTACCATCACATGCACAAGCTATTTTAACCGCACAATCAGAGCTTCCTCTGGATAAGGTAGCCGAGCTGGCTGACAAAATTGTTGAAGTGCAGCCAGCCCCCTCGCAATTCGTCCATGCTGTTGCCACGACGAACAATAAAAAGGAACTCGATGTTTTAGCTGCCATTGAAGCACTCACAAAACAGGTAAGCGAATTATGTGCTAAACGCCCGCAACGTTCCCGCTCTAGGTCACGTAACCGTTCAAACGTGGAACTGACTAACGGCAAAGGATGGTGTTGGTATCATAGCACTTATGGAGAAAAGGCTGCCAAATGTAAGGCTCCCTGCAAGTATCAGGAAAACTCCAACGACAGTCAGTAGCGGCGGCAACAGACTGTCCGAACCCGAGCAGCCGCCTGTTTGTTACAGATCAAATAACAAAACGCCAATTTTTAGTCGACTCCGGTTCCGACTTATCTTGTTACCCTCAACGGCTACTACGGGAACGACGCCATGCCACCGATTACGACCTCAGCGCGGCCAACAACAGTACCATAAAAACTTACGGGACGGTCCATCTCAATTTGAATTTAGGACTTCGACGCAGTTTCCCGTGGAATTTTATTGTCGCCGACGTGAGTACTCCTATCATTGGTTCCGACTTCATGGCATACTACCATTTGCTGCCGGATTGCCGTACCAAACGTCTTATTGATGGTGTCACAGGCTTGGCTGTGAATGGTAAGGTTTCCTCTGTAAATCAATGCAGCATAAAATCAGTTGCCAACACTTCCCCTTGGGCTGCACTTCTCGCAGAATTTCCGGACATCACACGTCCCACCGGATTGCCCAGGACAATAAAACATCAAACAGTGCACCACATTCTTACGACACCTGGTCAGCCAATAGCCTGCCGCCCACGCCGCTTAGCTCCAGGTAGACTAAAAATCGCCAAACAGGAATTCGCGGAAATGGTCAAGGCAGGTACCGCTAGATCTTCAAGCAGTCCGTGGTCTTCACCATTACATTTAGCACCGAAAGGGGAGAACAGCTGGCGTACTTGCGGTGATTACCGCGCGCTGAACGCCCGAACTATACCAGACTCCTATCCAGTCAGACACATACATGATTTCTCGCACAACCTGGCTAATTGCACGCTATTTTCCACAATCGATCTGGTAAAGGCTTACCATCAAATACCTGTTAATCCGGACGATATATGCAAAACAGCCATTACCACTCCATTCGGACTTTACGAATTTCCTTTTATGACATTCGGATTGCGAAATGCTGGACAAACTTTTCAACGCTTCATAGACGAAGTTACCAATGGGTTGGACTTCTGTTATGCATATATTGATGACATTTTGGTATTCTCTAAATCGGAAGAGGACCACAAACAGCATTTACGCACTCTTTTCGGGAGACTTTCTGACTACGGTGTTGTCGTTAACCCGCAAAAATGTGTATTAGGTTCGGCTGAGGTGAAATTTCTAGGTTACCTAGTATCTTCTGAAGGCACCCGCCCGCCACCGGAACGCGTCGACGCCCTACGACAGTATCCATTGCCAAAATCTATGCAAGGATTACGCCGGTTTTTGGGAATGGTAAATTTTTATCGCCGGTTTGTTCCCAAAGCTGCCGGCCTGCAAGCACCACTTCACGGTATTCTCAAAGGCCGGAGACAAAAGGTTCCCAACCGATAGAATGGACTCCCGAGTTAGAAAAAGCGTTCACCACATGCAAAGAAAGTCTTGCGACCGCTACTCTTTTAGCACATCCTCATCCAGCCGCACGACTTGGACTATTCACAGACGCATCTAGCCAATCTATCGGCGCATGTCTGCAGCAGCGAGTCAATAACATCTGGCAACCCATAGCATTTTTTTCAAAGAAAATGTCGGTGAAACAAAGTGCGTGGCCTGCGTATTATCGTGAGTTGCTTGCCATCTATGAATCGGTGAAGTATTTCAGGCACATTGTCGAAGCACAACCATGTACCATTTTCACCGATCATAAGCCACTCGTATATGCTTTCACCCAACGGAGAGAAAAGATACCTCCTACGCAACTCAACCAGTTGACATTCATATCCGAATTCACCACCGACATTCAACACATTAAAGGTGATGAAAATATCGTCGCGGATACAATGTCACGCATTGAAGTTGTGTCTCTCCCGCTGGACTACCGAGCTCTTGCTGCATCTCAAGACACGGATGATGAACTCAAACATTTTACTGACAACAATTCATCTCTTCATTTGGAGAAGGTACTAGTGCCAGGATCTTCAGCCTATATTTATTGCGACACGTCAACGGGACGCCCACGACCATTTTTGCCACAACGATTCCGGCGTCACGCATTTGATCAGTTACACAACCTTAGTCACCCCGGTGCACGCGCAACAGCTCACTTAGTTTCAGAACGATTTGTGTGGCCAGCAATGAAAAAGGATTGCCGTTCCTGGGCACGTGCCTGCGTCCACTGTCAGCGATCGAAAATAAGCCGACACGTCTCAGCCCCACTGGGAAACTTTGAAACACCTTCACGCCGATTCAAACATGTTCATGTCGATATCATCGGTCCATTGCCGCCATCACAGTTCTTTAGGTACTGTCTGACGGTGATCGACCGTTTCACCCGTTGGCCGGAGGTGTAT